AGCGGGGCGAGGCCGTGCGTGGGGGGGGGCGGGAGCCCGCCGTGTCTGCTCGCCGCTAAACGCCGGGCTCGAGACGGAGCGTTGTTAGCGCCTTCATGAATATGTATTCATCTTTCAAACTTCTGCGCCTGTCTGAACGGCAGAACTGCTTTGCTGGGAAAGCTGAGTTGGGAAATCGGCTGTGCATTGGAGCGCTGTCGGAACAGGCGAGTGGGTGCAGATGGAGCTGCCAGCCTGGCGTCTCTGCCGGGGCAAGATGCGCGGGCTACAGCTCAGCAGCGACGCCTCAAAGCTTGTAAACATAGGACCTTTTCTTCTTGCGTATTAGTTTTGTTTTTTCTTTTTCTACTCACTAACTGCGTATTTTCTACTTTGAAGATTCTCTTTAATTTTAACACAAAAGGAATGTGAAGAGAAAGGAAAGTGAAAAATGAGACGAGAACGGCCGCACCTGTAGCATCGGTGTTGTGGAGCAGACCCAGCTGGCAGAACTGTTCGGTGGTGCCCTCTAGGATTTTACGGCGCTGGCAACGACCAAGCCTTCGCCTCTGCGCTCCCACCAGAGCAAACACCCAACCCGCAAGCCAGACCGTGTAACGATGCCAAGCCCACCACGCTGGCTTGTGAAAAAGCCATCTTGCTCCGCGGAGAATCAACTGCACGGCCAAAACCGGAGTTCGTTTCAATAAAGGACTTGGATTATGGTGTTAAAAAAAAACAAACCAAAACACAAAACCCGGAAGCAGCGCTATTAGCTGATGAGAAGCCTTTTAGTTTATCTTTCCTCTTGTAATTGTTATTTCATGAGTGACTTTCTCAGTCCCATTGCTAACACACAGCTCCTCTTGGCAGCTTCCCCGAATTCCCCGTCTTGAGCAAATCTTGAGTCATCCCGAGGCAGCGTGAGATAGCATCAGTAAACACACGCTGCGAACTACAGCCTGTTGTCCTCAGTTACCTAAGCAGCGCCATAAATCCAAACCGCGGAGACGAAAGGTCGGAGCGGTAAAAAAAGGAGCAGCTCCCGAGGCTCAGTGCTGGTGCCCGGGACAGGCGGAGGTGCCGGCAGCGGGGCCAGGCGAGGCTCCGGCTGCGGGGACGGCTCAGCCCACTCTGGCTTGTGACTGCGGCTATGAACAGGGCTGCGGTTCGCTCATGCGGGTCTTGGAGACGGACGAGATCACCGGCACGAGCGCGAGGAGGAGCAGGCGGCTGCGCGTGCCGGTTTGCCCAGGCGCCTGTGGCAGTGGTCACACCGACCTCAGGCTTTGCGCCAACATGGTGCTTGCCATGACAGGAGAGACAACACCCGCTCCGGCACGGAGCTGTGGTGGCGTGGAGAGGCGGCACCTCCTCTGGCGCTACTGGTAGGACCAATACACGTGCTCAAGGATGAGTATGAGTGCATAAATATCTGAAGGCAGAAGTGAATCCGTACCAAACCTGTGCTTCACACCCTGCAGCCGCAGCGCTGTTCATCCGTCACCAAAGGCTCCAAGCTCAGATTTACAATCTGGTCTCAGAAACTGCGGCTGATTCAGTCTGCTGTGCCAGGGCAGATTTTCCAAAGTACTTCACTCCTCCCGGTAACTTTTTTCTGAGTGCCCTCTCGTTTTTCCGTGGCTGTTCAG